CTCGTGTTGTAATCTATTATTGTGTTCTCGGGTTTCACGTACGAATCGTATACGATTCGACCGTCCGCAGCGACCACCGTGACTTTGGCCAGTTCTAATCCCTGTGTCGTGTAACACATTTCGCAGTCCACGGAATAAACGCCGAAACCCGTTTTCCGGCACGATTTAACAAGATTTCGTTTTTTCGAGAGGTTTATTCACTCCGGCTGACACGCCTTTCCAAACGTGCAATTTCGCCGTCGAACACCCTTTTGAATTTTTTTTACCCTTACAACAACTAAATTCACTTTTGACGAAAACGACACCGTTCGAACTCGTACCGTACACTTTTTGAAGTTTTCCCCAATGATAAATACATTTTTCTCGCGTTAAATACTCTCCGTCTTTCAATACGAAAAATCCCCGGTCGCAACGTGCACATTTTTTCTCATCACTTCCCGTTTGATACCTTTTTAATATTTCCGTTATTACCACTTGCTGAGTCTCGACATCTTTATCACTGTTTTTATCGTCTGCCAAATCCGAATCGACCGATCTGTCTTCTTCGGATTTATCACTTTCACTACTTTCTAAAAAATCACCACCCATCATCGTATTATTTTGTTCCGGAGAATGATTCATCATATTGTACTCCCCAATAAAATCGGTATAATTATTATTATTATTATTTCTTTTCGAAACAAACGATGATATGTTGTCACAGGACGGTACAAATTCTCTTGCGTTCACGTCGAATAAATGAGTTTGACGAGGTAATTCAATTTGATCGACTACGTCACTTTTAGGCGAACCACAACTTTTATAAATAATTGCACGACCCGGATAAAGAGAGCTTTCGATGGGATACCCCAAAACCATCGCTTGCTCGGGAGTTAATAAATAATTTCTCAACAAGGAATAAATTTCACTTTCATCCACGTTTAATTTATTTATGTGTCGTAGAGTGGTTGAGGAACTCCATTTTTTCGAATGAAAACTCTCCGACGATCTTTTCGACGTCTTCCTCGTCATTTTTTTCAATACCGGAGAATTATTATCTTCTTTACGGATTTTATTTTTCTTTTGCCTTCTACTGAGTAACACTTTCGATGGAGCGATGGCGTTTTCTTTATTACCCTCGGAAACGCTGCTGTTTTCACTTTCGTCTCCTCCGCCTGGATCTGGTACGTCGGTTTCTTCTGCACACCCCAAAAAAAGGGAATCAAACATTACTTCAAATTTTTTATTATAAATATATACTTATGTAATGTAAATGAAGGGAGTTGGGATAACGATAACCTTTCGATTCCTTTGAAACCTTTTAAATTGAATTTAAAACCCCCCCCCTCCCAAATTTTGAAAATTTATTTGGAAATTCTTATTAGAAAAAACAACCAACTTTCTTTTCCTCTCTCTCTCTTTCTCATTACAAAATTTAAAAGGTAGAATAACCCAATTTGAAAATAATAACGTAGGAAAGTGTTTTTGTTTCTATATTTATATTTTTCGATGAACCCTTTTGAATTTTTACTAAAAGCAAACTAGGAAGTGGTTAGGGGGTTGGGTTAAAGAAATAAACAGGGAAAGAAAAACAATAATCACGTTTTTCTATTTTATTTGACCCCAACGGGGGCTACAAGTAGGGGTAATACATTTTTTTTTTTTTTTTTTTTTGCGTTCCCTATCCAAAAATAAAATAAGGTTAACTGTAATTGATTTTCTTTTTTTAAAAAAAACTCGCGAATGAGTTATCAAATACGTAAAAAAAATAAAATAAAATAGAAAGCTTATGATAATTTGATTATAATCGTTATTAATCTTTTGACAAAAAAAAAAAAATTAATCACGAACAACCCAAAATTCACTATCGAAAAAAAAAAAGTTGACAAAAATCGCAAGTTTTAAATTTCATCATCACATGACAATGAAAGTTTTAAATCTAATAAAAAAGAGATAGTACAGGTAATGGTATGAAAAAAAAAGTTAACAAAAAAGAAAAAAGACAACCTTAATACAATAATTTTGTTTGTTTGTTTGTTAGCCATTTGTAAACCTTATGTATGAGTCATTTACGCGTAAATAACAAAAACCCAAAATTTGCCACCATTTATTTTGCGTCCATTGTTTACAAATTAATACCCGATTAAAAATAAAATTTAAAAATTTAAATTCGTATATAATAATAATAAAATAAATCCCGACTACTATTCGATTGCTCAATTAATGGTTGAAACCTTGATGAAATAAGACGACTCATGACTCATTTTACAAATTCATATTGTTTGACTAATTCTTATTTTTTTTTTTTTTATTAAAAAAGAAACACTATTGAATATTATTTATTATTATTATTATCTTAAATATTAGATAGCCTTTGGAATCATCGACTTTCTTTTATTAAAAAGAAATGAAAAATATTATTAATAATAAGCTATAAATAAATTGCCTCGGAAAATTCATAAACGTTTCCCTTATGTTTTTTTTTATGTACATAAACATAAACAAGTTTAATAAAAAGTAGATTAAGAGCTTGCTCACGTAGTCAGTCTCAGTAACTATACTAAATACAAACTTGTTATATAATAAAGAAGAATTACATGTTTTTTTTTTCCAACTGGTTGTTTTTTTGTATACAAGAAGAAATAATTATGTTAAAAGAGTTACATAGGTTTAAAGAATAAAGAAAGATATAATAATAATAATAATAATTTCAGGAAGAATACAAAAAAAAAAAAAAAAATTAAAAAGAATATTTTATTTTACGTAACATTTTCTTTTTTTTTTTTGCAAACTGACAGATTACAATACATTGAAATGAAAGAATGAAAAAAAATTAATGATGATGGCAATAATTATAAAGTAAAACATTCATACGATTACAAAATAATAATAATAATAATAATAAATAAATAAATGGAACACGTAAATAATGATATTTGCTTATGCTATGCGAGCCTTGATCAGCAAAAATGAAGGAAAATAAAAATTTTTTTTTACATTGAATAGTGTTATACTTTTATGAATGACTAAAATTAGATTATACTCGGTCTAAAATTAGTAAAAGTCCAAAAAATTGTTGACAAAAATGATTATTTTCGCTACCTAAAATCGGGTAGTAGTAGTAGTAGTATCGGTTTTATATTTAAATAATAATAATAATAATAATTTTTTTTTCGTGTCAGGCTAGAAGAATAAATCGTGTGTTGTATAAAAGTAGTCCTTCATACCTATTTGGTAGTCGAATGGCGAAACTTTTTTTTTTTTTTTTTTTTTTGTTTTGTTTTCTCTAACATTTGTTTGCTAATTCGGTTTAAATTTATAATCAAACGTGAAAATGAAATTAGCATGGAAAAGAAGAAAAAGAAGAAGAAGAAGAAAAAAAAAAAAACTTTCACTTGTTGTGTATTTTTTTTTTGTGCACAGACCAATAAATAATGATACTAAATTTTTTTTTGTTAAGTATTGGACAAATGTTTAGAATAATCGAAAAGACACCCAACGCATAAAAGCCTTTATTGAAGGTCGATATTAATAAATAATCTATTAACTGTCAGAAAAAAAAAGTTAAAACTCAATAAAATAAAATAAAGAGAGCAAACGTTACTTTTTGGTATTGAAAAAACAATTGTCATTATTATTATTATTATTTAAAAAAAAAAAAAACATTCATTAATTTATTTTTTATATAAAATTTTGATGGTTTTTTTTTTTTTGCACGATTAGAAAACGAAACCATCAAAAAATAATTAATTAATTAATTTATTTATTTATTATTTTACATAATGACATGACTAAACTTTATGAAAATTTATTAAATATATGGTAAAAACAATGAAAGAAAAGATATGATTATTATTATTATTATTATTAACCTTTATAATTAAAGACAATGTTCAATTTTTTTTTTTTTTTTCTTTCACAAAACACATCGACAAGACCAAAGGTACATAGGAAAAGTTTGTAAAATGAGATTGTTAAAATTTTTTTTTGTTTTGTTTTGTTTTGTAAACCAAACAATGAAAAAAAAAAAAAAAATTATCAAGGTGATGTAAACGATGCTCAACCTTACGCAAATATGAGTAAAGTAAAAATAATTTATTAAATCATCACTTCCTTTTTAAACGTATAACTAACTGATTGTACCTTGACACACAGGTACTACTACCGTAAGAGTAGTAGTAGTAGTATTAGTAGTTTAAAACATATAATTTATAAGAATTATACGTCAATGCATTTTTTTTTTTTTTTTTTTTGAAAATTTTCAATTCATTTTTCCAATTAAATAATTTTTAATGGAATATTACAATAAATAAATAAATAAATAAATATGAGAAAATTTAAATAAGTTTTTCTTTTAAAACTTTTTTTTTTTTTTTTTCTTAAAATTTATTTATATTCTAAAACACACACACATTTATTATTTTAAACTACTTATATTTTACTTTCTAATTAAACTCAAATATAAATTTTTTTTTTTTTATTACGGGAAACTTTTTATTTTAAATAAATGTTGTGTAAAAATAAATAAATAAATAAATAAAACGAACTTGTTTTGTTGAAAAGTTCAAGTTTATAATTTCTCCTAAACCAGTTAAATACAAGACCGAATGCAAAACATGCAATGCTTTTAATTTATACAAAAAAAATTTTTTTAAAAATAAATAACAAGTTACTTTTCTACAATTTAATAATAATAATAATAATAATAATAATTCATTTTTTTTATACGCCTAAAATTTTCCTTTAATTACAAATAGTACATACATACATAAACGTTTAAATGTTTTTTAAAAAGGGGTAATTAATTAAATTAGTAAAAAGTAATTCCGAGTATTATTTTCATTAAAAATTGAAAGAAATGAAGAAATTTAAAAGTGGTAAATTGTACATAAGCTATTGTTAATGTGGAGTTTTTCAATTTTTATATTAATCACTGCTAAAGTATATTTTAAATTATTTTTAAAAAAAAAAAGGAAAGAAATTAGTAATTCGTATGTTACAACGAAATGTAATAGAATGTGCTGGAAATTTTGTTTTTTAAGAAAAACAAATCGAAAAGCGAGAAAAGCAAGATTTAAAATACTTAAAAACCATTTTTTTAAATAATTCAATTAATTAGATTTTAAAGGATTTGTTGCAGATTATTATTTAATTATATACACACATTTATTAAATGTAAATAACTGATAAATGAATCTGTCGAAAGATGCGAATGTAAAACAAAGCTTCATTTAAACATATTAACGTCTAATTTTTTGTTTTATTATTATTATGTCAGTTAACGAATTATATTATAAGATTTGATACAAACTTACCTATTGTACAAGTAACTAAACTTTTGCCATTAAAATCAATTTCCATATCTAAGATGCTGGAGCTTTTGATATTTTGGGATGTTAACAGCCACTGATTATTATTTGACTGTTTTCCATCACCATCTTGATTATCTTCAACCTTTTCTTTATCCCTAAATATGTTGGTTAGTGACTGGTGAGATTTTTTTGAATCATCAATTAAAGAATCTAAAACAAAATTAATAATAATAAGTAAAAATTGAATGAAAAAAAAAATAATAATAAAGGAAATTATTATTTTTATTTAAAAAGGCAAATTCAAATTTTATTATATTATAACTATTTGGTTAACTGTTAACTGAGTATTTAAAAAGAATACTTGTGAATAAAAGTTAAAAAAATCAGAGTTAAAAAATAAATAATAATGAAATTGAGTACATAACCTAAAACTTTATACACAAAATCAACATCGAAATTATTTAACATAACTTATAATTACATATAAAATAAATTACATTAAAAAAAAATATTAAAAGACAACCATTTTTGACTAACCGTAAAACGAAAATTTTAAAAACTTCTTACTTTTACTTTTTTCTTTTTTTTGAATATCTACATTTAAAACATTTGAAATAGTAATAATAATCCAAATAAAAAGACAGACAACGACAGCCGCACCAGCCACTGAGGAAATAATAAAACTGGGGAAATTCACAAAACCGTCCGCCATTTTAGTTCTACTTCATTATAATCACCTTCCTTTTTCTTTATTATGGCGGGAATATTTTACATCTAAATAACCTTAAATTAAATTTTTTTTTTTTTTTTTGAAAAAAAAAAATTTAATCAAAGTTTAAATTAAAACATTTTGATTAAAAAACTTTTAATAAATTTAAATTTAAAAAAAAAAATATTCAAGTGTAATACTTATTAAAAATTAACAATCAAGTCATGTTGAAAACAAACCTACACTAGTTTTATGTGACTGAAATCGCTTTTGTAGTATTAACAGGCTCATCATTTTTAACCCTACCATCGTTCATTCGTCCCTCCTTTCACATATTTACCTCAAAACAACTTTCTTTTAATAATAATAATAATAATAACACATTCGCACAATAATTCAGAAATCTTTTACTCTCTTTTGAAAGGTAATTAATTTTTAAATATCACTATTTTTTCTGTATCCTTTCTTAACAAGTAATGTATTTTTTTTACTACTACTACAGTGCATAAATAATAAATATAAAAATGTTCATTTAATTAAATTTTTTGTATTTAAAAATTGAAACAAATAATAATAAGTAAAAATCTTGTGGTTTTTTTTTATATATATTCAATTTTTTTTTTTTTTTTGTTTTTGAATAAATTGTACCTTTATATATATACAAGATTTTTTTTCTTCTCTTTTTTCAAGTGATTCAAAATGTTTAAAAATTCTCAAGTGATTTTAATATTAATAAATTTAAATGACAATTTAAAAAAAATTTTTTTTTTTTGTGTCGAAATTGAAAACTTGACATATAATTTTTAATTAATAATAATCATTTTCACATTTTTGGTGGACCTGTTCGAATATCCCATTCAGGTTGGGCACTCGATGATACTGCCATATACAAAAGTGCACCTCGTCCAGGTATCATTTTAGCAGAAACATATGATCTGTTATCTTTAGACCAGTGCGATGTTACTTTTCCACCAGTATTCAAAACTTCTTTTTGAAGATATTTTATTGGATCAGACATGAATTCCTGTGTTGAAAAAGGAAATGTTAAATTTGAAAAAAAAAAACAAAAATTTCTACATAATATTTTATTACCTTTAATGAAATATTAATAATAATAATAATATCATTAACTTAAATTTTAACAAACCTCATTTTCTATAGGACAAGTACAAGTGATTGTTTTTTTCGCTTCTACATTTAATTGATTTTCCAATACCTGAAGGAAATACTTAAAAAATGAATTTCTGTTTCTCTTAACAAGGGGATCATCAGATTTTAAACCGGTTAATACGCTTATATATTTTATTGCTACCGATCTATCTAAATAATTATAAAAAAAAATTAATTTATTAATGATATGATTAAGTGAGAATTGAATTTCATGAGAATTTGAAAAAATGCAAGTAAGGTCTCATAATAATAATGATAAATAGAATGTAATCTTACCCTGTTTATCTTTAATTTTTGTTATAAATTTTCTCGCCAAATTTAATTGATTTTCAAACTCTTTATCTAAATTTAGAAAAGCCATGTGTTTTATTTATATAAAATAATTTTCCTTTTTTTTTTTTTATCAAACTAACCAAATGTAAAAAAAAAAAAAAAAAAAAAAAACAAACATTTATATTTATTTGATTTGAAATTTTTCGAGTCTTCTGCTTATATCTGGGATCCTTTTTTTTTTTATTGAAACACCCTTCATTGTAAAAAAAAAAAAAAATAAATTTAAATAAAATACATTTTTAACTTTTTTTTTTTTTTTAAAAAAATTAATTTATTTAAATTTTCAAAAAATTGACATTCATTTAAATTAATTTTTTATTTTAAAGAATAAATAAAATTCCTCCATTTTTCTTACACTTATTTATGCGTTTATTGTTATTTATT